AGAATGAAAAATGAATAATGCAGAGTAAGAAGAAGACTGAAAATAGAAGAAAGAGTAAAAGAAGTAGGTCATTGTACGGTCCTCATGACTGAATGTGTAAATGGATGATGAGATTTGTGTATGTGGGTATGTGTGTTTTTATCTATCTATCTATCTATCTATCTGTATACGTGTGTGTGTACAATATATATAGATATAGATATCTATATATATATCTATATCTATATATATACACACTATATTGCCAAAAGTATTGGGACACCCCTCCAAATCATTGGATTCGGGTGTTCCGTGACATTTCCTTGGTACTAAATATTCCACGGTCAAATGTTAGTGGTATTATAACAAAGTGGAAGCAACTGGGAACAGCAGCAACTCAGCCACGAAGTGGTAGGCCACGTAAAAAGACAGAGCGGGGTCAGCGCATGCTGAAGTGCGCAGTGTGCGGAAGTCGCCAACTGTCTGCAGAGTCAATAGCTACAGACCTCCAAACTTCATATGGCCTTCAGATTGGCACAACTACAGTGCATAGAGAGCTTCATGGAATGGGTTTCCATGGCCGAGCAGCTGCATCCAAGCCCTACATCACCAAGTGCAATGCAAAGCTTTGGATGCAGTGGTGTAAAGCATGCCACCATTAGACTCTAGAAAAGTGGAGACATGTTCTCTTAAGTGACAAATCATGCTTCTCTGTCTGGCAATTTGATGGACGTGTCTGGGTCTGGCGGTTGCCAGGAGAACGCTACTTGCCTGACTGCATATGCCAAGTGTAAAGTTTGGTGGAGGGGGGATTATGGTGTGGGGTTGTTTTCCAGGGGTTGAGCTTTGCCCCTTAGTTCCAGTGAAGGGAACTCGTAAGGCATCAGCACACCAAGGCATTTTGAACAATTTCATGCTCCCAACTTTGTGGTGAACAGTTGGGTTGGCCCCTTCCTGTTCCAACATGACTGCGCACCAGTGCACAAAGCAAGGTCCATAAAGATATGGATGAGTGAGTTTGGAGTGGGGGAACTTGACTGGCCTGCACAGAGTCCTGACCTCAACCTGATAGAACACCTTTGGGATGAATTAGAGCAGAGACTGCAAGCCAGGCCTTCTCGTCCAACATCAGTACCTGACCTCACAAAGCGCTTGTGGAAGAATGGTCAAATATTCCCATAGACACACTCCTAAACCTTGTGGACAGCCTTCCCAGAATAGTTGAAGCTGTTAAAGCTGCAAAGGGTAGGCCAACTCAATATTGAATCCTAGGGACTAAAACCGGGATTCCATGCCTTAGTCCGTAGTGTGTGTGTGTGTGTATAGTTTGCTTAAAAGGGAATTATTTCTACAACAAAAAGCTGCTGACAGGTATAAAGTTGAACACCGCGTTAGTTCTTAAACATTTTCAAACATCTGCCTTGGTTAGACCGAACACTTCTGTGGATGTTTATCTTGCATAAGCTGTAAAGGCAAATAAAAGTATATAAAGTAATATGTGACCGTTTGCGGCTCCCTGTTTGAGATAGGCAAAGCACACAAACACAATGGTTAACTGTACCTCTTGCCAAATGTTTACTTTGGCTGAGCATAGAGTAGGGAACAGTTAAATTCCGTGTCAGTTTGTTTGTTTTTATCTTTCGCCCACCCTACAAGTACATTTGTATTGCTGCTATGTCCATGTTGGAGAGGTTTCCCCTCACTTCCTGTTATATTGACGATGATGTCACTGGGATGGAAAGTGGGGGAAAGGAAATCTCCCGAACAGAGCAACATACTGCAAACAAAAAAACAACAAACCTGACAGCTGTACTAATTGTTCCCTACTCTATTCAAAACTGAAAGCAAAATGTTGGCTACAGATACACTGTATAGACACACTCGTGCCCAGCTGGGGTCCAGTGATAGAATGTTCTGATTTCAGAACATACCAAAATGCCATCAGCCTCACAAATAATCAAAGCATTCTTTTGTGAACAGGTAAAACAGTGGTATAAAGACAGGATTTAGGGACTGAGATTGGTGCAAGACACTCTTGCTTGCTAATTTTTTTTTTCTCAGTCTGGTTTCAGATAACAGAGAAGGGCACTTTCTTATAAATAGGCTATACACATTTCAGCTGGTTCTTGATGAAATGGCCAAAATTCTATGCGTGGGTGCTGCTGTCGGCACCCTTCCAACTGGCATCCCTCGATCAGCTGATTGGAGAAGCTTGTCGGAAAATTCTCGACTGAACAGAGCTAGCAGCCAATCAACTGCTAGCTCTTTTTGGCAGCTGTGCAAATACAAAGGAAAAGGCAGAAGATTCCTTGATTTTAAGCGTTGATGGAGAATTCTGTGATACAGTGGTATCTCGGTTCACGAGCTTGATTAGTTCCACGATTCTGGTCGCAAACTGAATCAAACTTTGATCAGACTGTGATCTCGACTAGAGGAAGCCACGACCATGTGTCAGAACAGGGAAGATGGCTGCGGTTGTGTTCGTCACCGATGCGGAGTTTGCGAATGGAAGCAAAATTTTGCTGAACTTCCTGTTGTCACCCGACCCGAATTGTTCATGAACAGAAGCATTCGTGAACCGAGGTACCACTGTATTTTCTTAGTTTAGCCGACAGCTTGAACAAAGAAAATATATGTGTGTATACCTGCTTTTAGTCATTTATGTATTTAAAATGTATTAAAAACTAGTAATTATTGTTGTTTGCTGATCAATTATATTTCTAGCCGTTTGTTACGGTCCTTGCATTGCATTATGTTTTTTGAGTGTAATGTGATTCACCATAATGTCTCTCTCCTCCAAGCATTAAGAATGAATATCACCTGTGTGTATGTTTATTTGCCTGTTATAAGCAGACATGGACTGGACTGCATGTGAATAAAGGATTATGTTTGGCTGAGACTGCATAGAAAGTAACCTGTAGTGACATTTTGACTTGTCATTCTGGGAAGCCTGCAATGCTGGGGGGATAGGGTGACTTACAAAACACTGCAGACTCTTCTCTCTGCCTTACACAAGCTGTCCCTAGCTGGTTTCATTCTGGATTTTGTCTTCATTTACAGATAACAAAATGCTGGGGAAAAATAAGCACCAGGAAGCCCAAACTCTGGGAGTCGGTAAAGCTATCGCTGTGCTTACATCAGGAGGAGATGCACAAGGTAATCATAGCTTTTCTTATTTCAAATATTGCTTTAAGCTGTCTGTTATTGTCTAACAACCAGTTATAATAAATGTGATCTTGGTAGACATGGCCTACATTTTAGACCCTGAAAAAGAATAGAAGAAGCTAAAAACAACAACTTTCTTAGGAAGAAATGAAGATATGGTCACTGCTTATACCCAGATGAGTAGAACTGTTCTGGATCTCTGACACTTTTCACTGTGACCGAGTCACTGCTGGCCACTGTGGTCATGCTGCCTCAGTGTCTTCTACAGCCTCAGTGTCAGACTAGCTAAGCAACCTACCAGATGATTCTCTAATGGAATTCTATCCCTGATGCAAGCAAAATATAGAAATTCAATTCCTTTATATCAATTATATTAAATAAGTACATTACAGTGTAGGTCAGTGGTTCTCAACCTGTGTAACCTCAGGATCCACATTTGTCCTTGGTCATCAGGTCGCGACCGAAGTCTCACTGCAATGGAACGCGTGGCATTAGGGTACCGTGTGTTCCAGTGCGGGCGTACAAGCTCGGTGGGAGGTGTGTTTGAGGTACCATTCAAATCAATGGCAACGCAACACACCTGAATGCACGGTAGGTTAGCTTGCGTGGTAAAGTGCATTAATTGCAAAACACTGACATACATACACAATCTCACGCACTGACATTCTCACACACACATACACACTCTCCATTTTTTTTTTTAAGGTCCACCCAGTCTCCTTACCTTACGAGAACTGGAGTGGATCCTCCGCTTGGGGTTCAGTGTGGGCTGCTGTGCTGTGACGGAGCTCCATCTATATGTGCATTGCTTATACATCTCTCTTGCACGCCCTGTAGAGGTGCCGGGAGCCAGACACCTCTATAGGACACATGAGGGAACTGTAAGCAATGCACGTATGGATGGTGCTCCTTCGCGGTCATAGCCCCAGCCCACCCCACCTCAAAATGACACTCGGCTCTGGACAGCATACTTTGAATGGCTGCTTGGTGCGAGAACTGACAGTGCTGTGCTAGGGGGAGGCAGAGGAGCCTCTCGCCTAGAAAAGTTTAAGGCATGTTGCGACCCCCAGAACATCCCATGTGCTCCAAGATGGAGACTCTCATAGTTTAGAGTTAGGACCGCACTATAAGAGGTGCCTTGGCGCGGCAGTGCGGCTTACACATCCTTTGCAGAAGACGTGTATCCAAACCTCTGTCATTGTCCTTAGTGGTGAGACAAGTTGTTTTACATGCTAGTTTGTGAGTGTGCCATGATGCCTTTCTACTGTTCTACTGTTCAAAGCCCATTTCGTGTGCACCTTACTGTACAACTGGTAACAAATTGTTGAGTGCGTTTGTCGTTTGTTTTGCTTTACCGATTTGGTGCAGCGACGCATGGGGTTTCTCAGCTGCCAATGGGATGTGCGGGATCCCTTGTGTGTTTCTGTACCTTTTAAGGAGGTGGGGCGTCCTCCTGACAAGCCTGCACCCAATTTGATATCTTCTGCCCCATGTGCTCCAAGATGGAGACTCCCAGAACATGAGGTCGCAACCCACTTTTGGGTCTCGACCCACCAGTTGAGAACCAAGGATGTAGGTCAATGTGTATTTACTTAGTAAAATATCTACTTCACACATAAATATTATTTATAATAAATGTTATTGTTGGACCTCATAACCTGATCTGTTATTTTTGTTATTCAATTACTCAATAATATTCTTAATATGCTCAGTTGGGTAAATGGGGGAAAAAATAATGATTGCACACATTAGATATTCAAAGTGTACCTAAAGCCAACTTTATTCAGTTTCAGATAGGGTGGAAAAGTGTTTTTATTGCTGCATGCGACCCAACTGGGAAGATTAACCCACAACGATTGTCACCAAGACAGAAAGTGATGGGAAATCCAAAATTCTAAAGCTGTCACCTGAACAGGAACAGAGGGGAAATATTCCAATAGGGACACCTATTCTGGTGTCAACTGTCTGAGAGGGGATTTCCCTTAACTTGTGTTGTGTCTACGGGACAGGAAGTGAAGAAGGTAAATTTCCCTAATGGGACACGGACAGCAAAAATAAATAACCTAGGTTTTAACTTTAGATATACTTTAAAGTGGCCCTTGCAGTACAAGCAAGTTCTGCTTATTTACTTAGGATCCCTCCCCCATAAGAAATCACTGTACTAAACTTAAAGAAACCCTGTGGGTAAAAAAAACTTTGTTATTATACTTACCTTCCATATTGCAAGGAGTAATTTCACCATCCTACATTGAGATCCTGAGGAATGCTGATAGCCCACGTTTTGCGGGATGGCGCTCCAACACAATGAGGTAGCTTAGGCTTCTTGGTGTTTCCCGGGATTTCACCAGAAAGATGGTGATTTCACCTGCCATTAATTTAGGACGCTAGGTATATACAGTTCACTTTTTTCGTTCAACCTGCGGGCTGATTCCTCAATCAGCGCTTGCAAGCGAGTGTTGATGGACGAATCCCCCGATGTCTCCTTTGTATTATGACAGTGCCCACTGGCTGCTGTCAGAATACCTGAATGGAGCTAATAGCTGATTCGCTGGTAGCTTTGTTTGGCCAATAATTATCCAACCTGCTCCTTCGATCAGCTGATCGAGGGATGACGTGTGGAAGGGTGCAGACATTGGCACCCACGTGGTGAATTTCAGCCGGTTAATCGAGAATCGGAATAAATTTTAAGTGTGTATAGCCAGCTTAAGCCAATGTGAGCAGTAGTCCTCGGTAAGGTAAGTATATTACCTAAGTTTCCTGTACCCACAGGTGTTTTATTTCTTTAAGTTTTGTGCAGTGTTTTGCAGCTTTAACAACTGCAAATCTTTACTTGCCAAGAATTGGTATTTTATTCCTGAAAAATTAGACTTATTTATAGACTAGGAAAATATTAAGGAGCAAAAGTTATTTCAATTAATGACTTGTACATAGAAAACATTGCCCATATCGATAATATAACCTGCATGTGGTAAATTTACCTGATCCATGCAATAAAATGTTTGGGGAGTTAAAAACAATATTTTATTTTTAAAAAAGCACATATTTTGAAAACTGTTGATTTCCTTATAGTGGCAGATGACATTAGAGCATCTCAGATCCATTGTGTTCAGTGCCTTCACTTCATAATTTGATACTTAGAACATGGACCATAAGGTTCATAATAGTTTCTTGCTTTTCAAGCCAATAGAAAAGTCCAAGACGTTGTTTTGTCTAGTGTTGTATTACATGGCAGCTGTCATCTGAGATCACCAAATGTTCTGTCCTAGAATAGATAATGTTTCCCTGCAAGACAGCTGTACCCTGTTTCCCTGAAAATAAGACCTACCCCGAAAATAAGACCTATTACTATTTTTGGGAATTGCTAAAATATAAGACCTACCCTGAAAATAAGACCTAGTTGTGACCATTCCCAGGGCCGGCGGTGGCATAAGGGGGAACTTGAAGAGCCGCGGGAGAGAATCAGCGGTGCCAATGAAGCCAGCGCTAGTGGAAGCGAGGCGGCAGCACAGGGAGCAGAGCCGCATAAGCTGAGGGCTCCTCTATAGCGCCGACTCCTGTCACAGGCGGAGCGATACCAAATGCACTCCGCCTGTGAGGAATCTATAGTGAAAGTGCGCTTCGCTTTTTCTGGTTACCAAGTTGCTCTTGGAAAGATATGGCACCCCTGATTGCCCTGATCACCATATTCTTAACTTTGCCATTTTGGATTATTTAATTTGGATTTGCATTACATTTGGATTGTTATACGTTAAAAAAAAAAAAAATAAGACCTACCCCGAAAATGAGACCTAGTGTGTTTTTTTGAGCCAAAAAAAATATAAGACAGTGTCTTATTTTCGGGGAAACACGGTAGAATAAAATAGGCGACATACACAGTTTCACTATCACTAAATATATGTGAAACAAAATGAGTAATATCTTTCAGTTTCCACATAAGTATATGATTACAACAGATGAAAAATACAAGTAGGTCATCTTTTAGTAATTCAGGTTTTCTCTTGACACTTTTGGGGTAGGAGATTTGATAAAGGAAGAGTTGTCATTTTAAATGGGCAGCTTGTAAATGTCAAAATGCATATACAGTATGTGTATTTTGTTTTTACATGTACTTTTTTAGTATACATATTTATTAAAGTTTCATCATCCAAATGCTAGATTTTAAATATAGATGAAGTCTGATGGTCACCTTTGTGCTTCTCATATCCCCAGTGGAATCATGTCCCTGCCACAATTCTCAGCTCCTGCCCACCTCAAGCCCCACTACAAATTAGGTGTTTCCATCCCTCCTGTTGCATTTTCCATTAAAAAAAAAAAAAAACACAAACAGAGGAAGTTGTTGTCACACTTCCACAGTAGGTTTGCAGTAGAGCAAGATTCTAAATAGACATAAAAAACTGAGTGTTGGGCCACATATTTTTCTAATGCCCCGAAACCTGACGCTGCTGCTGCCAATGTTTTTTTGCTGCCTTTGGATGCCCAATGTGTTGCTTCTGGGCAGCCACTTTTTGTCTTTAAATGATTGAGGAAAACCATTTTAAAAAGAGTACAGCTCATTATTCCACTCTTCTTCAGCACTGCTACTCCCATGATTTTCTGCTGCCAGGCCCAGCTGAAGGGTTATGTTATCAGTGGTATAAGTAATTTTCTGTGTGTATGTATGTATATGAATGTGTATACAGTGTTTGTGTGCATGTGCATACACTGTGCATATGTGTGTATGTATACACAGCGTGTGTGTATGTGTTTGTGTGTTTGTAATCAACGAAAGAATAATGCAAAGCAAAGTTTAAATTTATAAGTATACTGCATAATTAGAAGTATATTTATATATGCATTATGATCATCAGCCCAAGAGGTTGTAGTGGTTTTTCTACAGTCCTATACCATACATAAAAAGCGTATGTTCGTAGCCACAAAGGTGCGAATTCCAGAGGAAACTTTTTTTAAAACATGTACATTTTTTTTCAACTGAGGGCTTTTTTTCAACTGAGAGCACAGGGATACATTAGGATGCATTTTGGGTCCGGAAACAATCTGAATGGGCCCTAAATCTCAACTGCAGGTCACTCAAATATTATAATCAAATAAAACACAGATGCAATTGTTTAGTCTACTAATCTGCTTTATATCTTTTACTTAAAGTGACATTAAAGTCAAAAAATGTTTTCCCTCCCCCCAATGTTAATGTTAGCACTTACCTTAAATGAGGTTTCCTAATCTGATCTTCCTCTTCTTTCCTGATGTTTTCATCTGTCCCTCCAGCGGTGCGGCGGCTCTCCGATCCAGGGCTGACTCCTCTGTGCTTACTGGCACTTCTGATCCCACGGAGTCTGCATGCGGGTGCACGCGTCCATAGACTTACCTTGCGTCTCTGCTCATCTCCCGCCCGAAAATCCGAACTGCGCATGCGCCCGCCCCAAGATGCTTTACGGCCGCCCGAGCAGTTTCGGATTCTTGGACGGGAGTGCACGATGAAAACAGGGTAAGTGTAAACCGCTGTTAAAGCTTTTTTTTTGTTTTTTGTTTTACTTTTTGCCTATATCTACTGTTTGCTAGCAGTAGTTATAGGCAAAAAAAACAGGGTTTACAAACCATTTAATATAAAAAATGATCCGATCATCGCTATATCTTCGTTATGTAAAGCAGAGTTCCCCAACCTATATTCAGATCCCAGCATATAGTTACATAGTATTTGAGGTTGAATAAAGACATAAGTCCATCAAGTCCAACCTGTTTGTGTGTGTGTGTGTGTGTGTGTGTGTGTGTTACATTTGTGGTACACTGGCCTGTGTTTTACTATTGGAGTGAGAAGTTAAGTTTGACTATAGAACATTTTGTACATGAAAATCATGTCCCCCCTTAATCTCCTTACTTCCAACGTAAACATGTTTAAATTTAGTAGCCGTGTCTCATAGCTCTGGTCCTCCATCCCCTTGATGAGTTTGGTCGCCCTCCGCTGGACTTTCTCCAGTTCAAGGACATCCTTTCTGTGGACCGGTGCCCAAAACTGCACCGCATACTCCAGGTGGGGCTTGAACCATTGATGTGTAAAGTGGCATAATTATAGACCTCCAAAACAGTAGAAAGGCATCATGGCACACTCACAAACCAGCATGTAAAACAACTTGTCTCACCACTGAGGTTAATAACAGAGGTTTGGATACACGTCTTCTGCAGAAAATGTGAAAGCCGCACTGCCGCGCCAAGGCACCTCTTATAGTGCGGTCCTAACTCTAAACTATGAGAGTCTCCATCTTGGAGCACATGGGGGCAGAAGATTTCAAATTGGATTATAATTATAGACCTATCCCTGCAAAATATTCCCTGCTTGATGCTTACTTTGCTTACAGCAACCTGGCACTGTAATTTATTTTTCAGTTTGTGGTCTACAATGACCCCCAAATCTTTCTCCATTTCCGACTTCCCTAGCGTCATACCCAGAATTGTATAACCCATTTGCCTATTATTCCTCCCAAAGTGCATAACTTTGCATTTATCGACATTAAACCTCATCTGCCACATAGTTGCCCACTCCCCTATTTTATCCAGGTCCTCCTGCAATGTTACACTATCTTGGTTTGTTTCTATTACCCTCCCAATTTTGGTATCGTCAGCAAACACTGAGATATCGCTGTTTACTCCGTCCCCGATGTCGTTAATAAACAGGTTGAAAAGCATGGGTCCCAGCACAGAACCCTGAGGCACACCGCTAATGACACTAGCCCAGTCTGAAAGGGCGCCATTTATTGATACTCTCTGTACCCGTTCCTTTAGCCAGTTCTCTATCCATGTACACACCCTTCCATCTATGCCCATAGCTCTTAGCTTGTGTAGTAAGCGTTTATGAGGTACCGTATCAAAAGCCTTAGCGAAATCCAGATATACCACATCCACAGACCTCCCTCCATCCAGATCTCTACTTACCCCCTCGTAAAAAGTCATTAGGTTAGTCTGACAGGAACGGTCCTTCCTAAACCCATGCTGGTTGTCATTTATTTTGTCATTTTCCCGCATGAATTCTACTAAGTGGTCCTTAATCATTCCCTCTAACAGTTTACAAACTACCGATGTAAGACTAACTGGTCGGTAATTCCCAGGTTGGCATCTTGCTCCCTTTTTAAATATTGGAACTACCTCCGCCAGTCACTCGGAACTCTACCAGTCATTAGAGAGTCCTTACAAATGAGGAATAATGGTCTAGCTATAACCTCGCTTAGTTCCTTAAGTATCTTGGGGTGTAGATTGTCCGGTCCCAACGCTTTATTTACATTAAGTACACTAAGTCTTTGTTGTATCCCGGGTTCCGTCAACCACTTGGCTATATTTTATGATGAACTATGTGTTTTATTATCGGTGTCAAACCCGTTTCCCTCCTAAGTGTATACTGAGGAGAAAAAAGTGTTCAGCACTTCGGCCCTCTCCTTGTCGTTTGTGACCATTGTCATTGTGTTTTTTTTTTAATTTAAAAGAATATCTATTATTAATAAATGTTAAAAAAAATGGTTAAGTACTCTAGCGGTCTTGTATGTTCTGGTGTTTGTGGTGTATTTTGCTGACTATGGATGGATGTTTTGGTATAGTTGGGAACATGTGAACCATATTCAAATATAATATGATGCGGTAAGCCGTGTGTTGCATGTGTTTGAAAAACACCTGCATTCAGGGGCGGGAGGGGGCGTGGGCTGCACAGACAGGCCCCTCGCCCACAGTGCGATCGCCTGCATTAGTGCCTGTGTTCCAGTCCAGTGCGATCCGCAAAAATGCTGCAAGCACTATTTTTGCAGATCGCACTGGACCGGAATGCAGGCACTAATGTGCATGCGTTCCGAGTGCGGGCGATCGCACTGTGGGCGATGCCATTGACTTCAATACAGCTCCACACCCCCTCCCGCACCGGAACGCAGGGAGTCGGCCTGCTTACATTCCAGTGCATTCCAGTACATTACAGGTCCCGGCGTCCTGTCCTCCCGTGGTGCTCGTGTGGCCGACGTTGCACATGGGGTGTCCTGCACCTTTCCATCTGCAGCGTCTGACACATTCAGCCGGCAGCCGCACGAGCAC